TCACTTCTAAATGTGTGATTTAATGGCACCCTAAATCCTGTAAAAATGCAAGATTTTTGACAAGCAAAGCCTAAAAATGCTCCAAAAAGTGCCCTATTCCCTCTTCCTTCCAGCCTATGCTCCTCGCTCTCAGCACCCCAAAGCCTCTCAAGGTACGCTGCAGAATGAACGCCAAGCTGACAGCACAGGGGACAGAATCTGGGCACATGATTTTCAAATGGTCCCTTACTCAGGGTATCCAACGCGGCTGGGCGCTCAGGGGCTGCCGCCTCACTTGGAAGCGACAGCTCCACCGGAGATGACAACTTCCAGGGAAAACCAGAGGCGAGCTGTCCGCGGGGACACCAGCCTCTACCGGAGCTCCGGCACAGGACGGACCCTGACCGAGCCAGCTTTCCCTCACACAGGCCACGAGCTTTTCCCGCAGCGGCGTATCCGCCACGGCTGTTTCCAGGGGGAGGCCCCTGGACCCGACACCTCTGGCCGCCGCGTTTCTATCCTCGCTGCCGGGACCCTCCCTCCGCCGCCCCACTGCCCGCCACGGCCGCTGCCACCCCGNGCCGCGGAGCGCTGGGAGTTGTAGTCCCCGCGGGACGGGGCTGCTCCCACCGGCGCCCGGAGCCGCCGCCGGCGCTCACCGCAGAGGCGGAAGAACAGCGGGCCCAGGGGAAGCCGGCACAGCGTCCTCCTGACCCCTGCACCTCCCCCAGGCCCCTGCGCGGCATCCGTGCCTGGCCCTGCCTTGCTACCCTGGCTGGAGCTGGTTTCTTAGGAGAGTTAAGGAGTACGCCATAGTTGTCTGGGGTAGGCGTAGGAGAGAAGGGAGATAGATGTATGTATGACCTATTCCCAGCGCTTTTAACTGTCCTCATAGCAAACTGAAAAACAGGTAAGACCGTGCTAGGCAGGAGCAAAAACCCAATACAGGCAGGTAGCAGAGACAGCATCAATGCCAACGCCGAAGTTATCATGCGGTGCAATAGAGTGACCTGGGTTCAGAAACACAGGCGGTGCATAGAACCACCGTGCTGCTGCTGGGGCAAGAAATGCTTAACTAGGTCCTGAAGAAGGTGTTTGGTTTGAGGATCTGAGAAATTTCCTCAGAACTCTACAATTACCTAGCAATAAAGGGCAAAGAAGTTCAACTTGCCGTGTAACGGAAGAGCCACTTGAACATGGGACTCCACTTGTCCATGGGACACTAAACTCAGGGTTCATTGAACCAATATATTATTGGGAAACAGCAAGGAGAAATTTATCCTTATCCATTTCAGCACATGCTACAAGTACATCAATATAGAAATTACAAAAGGGAACAATGAAGAAGCCTGATTCAGTCGAACCACCTGACTGCTTGGCACTATGAGGACAGCCACATCTACATGCTGCAGGAACTTCTCTGATGTGAATGAGGATCAGCTTATCTAGTCTTCAATGTCACACTGCCATTTTGTTTGTTTGGTATTGCAATAAAGATAACAGATGTTTTTGACTGCATTCATTCCAAGATTATCTGCACTTCTGGATTCCTGAATTTGATAGCAAGAGACAATGTGGGCACTGGATCTCTGCTACAACATTAATGCTTAGTGCTAAATTGAGTGTTAAAACACCTGCCTCAGAGGTGGGAGACAGGCATTCAAGGTCCAATTACACTTGCAATGATGAGCAAAACCATGAGTCGTGTGATAGACATTTTTTGTTGTTGCTAAGTAGCATTCACTCCAAGCTGAGGACTTTTCAGTATCTCATACTTTGCCAGTGGAGAGATGCACAAAAGCTGGGAGGGAGCATGGCCAGGACAGGTAGCTGGGGAAGTTATCTGTAAGGGGGACAAACACATTCTGGGACAGGCTGGATATCAGGCCACATGTGGTGAGCAATTGTACTGTGCATCACTTGTTTCTCTTGGGTTCTGTTACTCTCTACTCTCAGTGATTATTGTTGTTGTTATTTTTAGTTGTTTCAATTATTAAACTGGTTTTAACCCACAAGGTTTACCTTTTCTTTCTGAATCTCCTTCCCACTGGGAGGGGTGGGAGGAAAGTGAGCAAGCAGCGGCAAGGTACTTTGCAAACTCCTTCAAGATAGACGGCGTTCCTTAGGAGCAATTTAATGTATTTTAGAGATGACAGTCTTGGCTCAGCACAAAACCAATTTTATCTTGATTTAACTGCAATATTAAGTGCTTTTAAAAGTTTTCTTTAGCCAGGAAGAGATTTCAAACAAGAAACATGGGTATATTGTAACTTAGTCCTAGGCAGCTCCAGGCTTCACCTATCAAGACTTGGCCTGCCACATATTAACTGCTACCTAAGACTTAATACCCTTACTGCACTGGCACAGACCATTTCACAGAATCAGAAAATGGTTTGGTTTGGAAGGGACCTTTAAGATCATCTAGTTCCACCCCACCCTGTGGTGGCAGTCCACTAGTCCAGGTTATGCCTTCCTATTTCCTCCAGCACCATTTCACATACTACAGTAACCCGGATCTCTTGGAATACAGTGCAGCAACATTTGCAAATTGCCTCTTCATCTATGAGTGATTTACATATTAACCAAGTTCTCTCATCCATTTAAAGGATTTTAAAATGCTGTTAGAACCAGGAGGGGGAAAAAGGGAAATCAGAAAGATTAGGACTGAACTCAGACTTGCACCTCCATAGCATCTGCAGAGTAGTGGGACATTTCTAACAAACCATGAGAAACATCAAGTTTTTCATTGCTGTGTTGAAATCAGAAACAACAATATTTTCAAGGAGAAAACCTCAGAAAGGGAGCTCACACATTTTATAAAACATTGACTAGGTTTGTTGAGATGCATGTTTGTCTTGCTTATATGGTCCAAGAAGAAATGGGAGACAAATACACAGAAATACTCCCATCCAAAGCTCACTGAAAGCCTCCTCCCAATTAAGTCCTGGTTCTTCAGATCAATCTTTAAAACTACAGCATTTTATTACTTTATCTTTCCCAAAACTGCATTTGCAAGTAAGCTTTCTAGCCTAAGCTGTGCTTTCATTTACACTTATGTCTCTTCAGTATGCACGTCTGTAAACAAGAACCCTCTGACTCTGGTGTTTCTCTGTCTCAGCTCAGATCTGTACTTGGCAATTTATAGTATACTATTGATCAACAATGGCAGGCCATCAAGATGGCAACCTGAAACTTCTGGCACCCTTTTTGGATTAAAAAAGCAAAATAAAAATGTAGGTACTAGTTGTGCACAGATAGTTGGAAGGTTCTGGGTGTAGTGCTTTTTTTTACCTCCATTTTTCAATTAATCCACATCTCCCTTGTCTGTCTCCTATCCCTTGATTGCAACACCCGAATTATAATTGTTATTTCTCAGACGACAGCCTTCCCAGCCCCCGAACCACCCCCAAAGAAGGTCTCTGGTTATGAGGAAAAAAATCTGTGGTGTTAGTCAAGGTGCAGTTATCTTGCCTTTTGACATAAATTCAGGATTAAGTTTTCATCATCTAACCAAAACCATACATGTTCTATCATGACAATGAGCACAGCCTAAACAAACAAATTATTGCCTCATTTCTGCAGACAGCATAGATAACTATTTAAGGACTCATTTGATCTAGACAAAAAGCTGTGAAAAACTGTGAATCACATGCTTTGTATTTTACATCCCATCGTAACGTAATTGGCTCTTTTTGGATACAGGATACCAAAAAAAAAAATACACATATAAAAATTACAGGAAAATGCATATTCTAGAAACATAAATTATATATTTGGGAGGCAGCAAGAGTTTACCATCATAATTTGTAGAGTCACCAGCATCTTTCTTCCCAAATGTTCCCAAGTGTTGGGGTACTTATTCTGCCTTTACAGAATGTTTGCTAAAAGTGTGCTCTTTTCTCTCTAAATACAAATAATTCTTTTGTTAGCAGACAAGTGCATTATAGCCCTTTATCCTGAAACACCTTTAAAAAAAGGTTTTCACTGTGATCTGGACTAGACTCCTTTTCATGCTGATCTGATAGAATGGTCTGGTTACTGCTGTAATATAAATAATAACAATAAAACTTATTGAATGCTATTTCCATGTCCCTAGTATTTTTCAGAAGCTAGATATATTTTATGATTTGTTAAAAAAATTAAAATTACAATGCTTCTGTCTGGCACTCCATAGAGCTGCAAGGACACATTCAGTTATAGCTGAAGAAAGAATCACAGATTAAGCCAAGAGAAACACCCTGAGATAGTCAGATAAAGTATCTATCAAATATTGCAGGAATTCCAGGTAGGGGAGACTTGCAGAATAGTTCCAAATACTTTAGATCAGTTATCTTAGGGAACCCCCACAGACAGCTTCTCTTGGCAACAATAAAATACACAGCACTTCTCAGAAGCAACCACCAGTCAAGACACTGGAAAATTCCCAGGAAATAAAAACCATTTGTTCTTGTGAAGTGCTAGATTTGGTGTCACTACACTGCTGACATAAATATTACGGTTCAGAAATGCAATGCTTACTGATTGTGATCTGGACAATCCTTCTCTTTCACAAAAGGAAGACCATCTTCCCTATGGTCTACCTTCCTCCTGAAGGGCTGCTCCCCATAAACAGCTGGAAGCACTTGTGAAACAGACACCTGTATCTCACTGCAATACCTGTTCCTTGCCTGTTTGTGTGTCACAGATGTGAATTAAATCACAGAGATACAGAATGGTTTGTCTGGAAGGAACCCAGTGGAGACTGCAAGTGCAATTTTTTCTCTTCAGTTCTTAATGAATGACAGAAGATGTTCACAAACATCTCTTTCACTGAATTGAAGAAAACATTAGGTGAAGGAGGAAACTGAAGCAAGTAATTTATCTACACCTGTTTTAGAAAGTTTGCATTTTAAAACTGCTGATATGAAGCATAATCACAATACCTGAAGTTTACTTAATTATATCAGTTTAAGAGCTCGGGGTACAAAGAAATTCATGCCTTACTGCCTGCAGTTATTAACTTAAAAGAAAATATTCAGAGATAACATTTACTCTGCATTTAATGATATCACCTGAGATTAGAGTTGTTCAGAATCCACTGAATTATTCTGATGAGTTATCAGATGGCTCTGCTAAAGGGTGATTTCCTCAAGAGCATCCAAAGCTATGCTTTTTGATCTGTGGTGGATTTTGATTCACTGGCAGGTGAGTTTCCTTTAGGAATTTCTGTTTTTTTCAGTCTTTGAAACAAGTGCAGTATTCTTTGGAACTGGGCCTTTCTCTTCATAAGACATCCTTCTACTTTATGTCTATAATGGATGGAAAGGGCTACTCCAACGATACACAGAGTAAAAAAAACAAATTGTGCTATTCTTACTTTTGTTCTCTCAGAAATCTTCCTGGCTGGAGGGGGTCCACTGTCAATGCTACCTCCATATCCTCTCGATTCACAATATGGAGGAGCCCAGCCATACTTACAGTGACAGTTCTTGCGATTGTTACACACTCCTCTGTTATTACACTTTGTCATGTTGCAGTCGTACTTCAGCACTGATACATTCATACACGTCCTGTTGATACAAAGCATATCACTACCACATGGTGTGCCATCTTCCACAGCTCCCACATCTGCTCTTGACATTCCCACGTGATAGTCGAGACCCCAGCAATTTTTATCGTGAACAGGAGTTTGGACTAGTGTTCCATGGTTCTGCAAGACAGGCACTCTGACTACGTTTTCACACTGAATCCTACCACATAAGACATTTTCAGTACTGCATTTTCTAAAATAGATATTGTCAACAATACCACAATTCCCAAACCGGTCACCTTGAGTATTCACTGCTTTGAAGCAATCTAAAGGGGCTACCATGGCTTGTTTGCCAAAGAGATGCTGGCACTGTTCGCTGTGGGAAGAACATTTTCCTTGATAGCAATAAATACCTTCTTTGCAAGGGGTTCCATCTTGTAGGTATACATCCAGTGGGCACTGAGGGGAAGTCCCATTGCAATACTCTGGCAGGTCACAGCTGCCAGTACTTGCTCTGCAGATTGTTCCTGCTGGAAGGATCTGACAGTTCTTACAGCATTTTCCAGATGCACAGACTGAACCTGCAGAAAGCGTACAGTTTGCGCGGCAACAAGGATCCCTTCTGCAGTTTGCTGCTGAACCACAGTCACACTGCTCTCCACTTTCTACTACCTTATTACCACAGTATTCACGTTTCCCAGTGTAGAAACTGCCTGGTGCTGGTGGTTGACGAAGGCACTGAGCACGATTTACAACCAGCTCAAAGTACTCTTTGTAACTGCAGTCACTGAACTTATCAGTTTCAGAATTGTTTTCATACATAATGCATGTCTTGCGTTTGCAATAACACCCTGGTTTATCATGGAACATCCCAAGATTATGGCCCAGCTCATGGACAAATGTGACAAAAACTCCAGACAACTTTTTCTCAGTGAAGGAAACAACAGCAGATGACCAATGGTAATCACACACTGACCCTATAAATGCCAGTCCCAGGCTGCTTCCAAACCTCTGAAATGTAAATAAATGAGCAACATCGTGGTACAGCCGACTGTACAGGTTTGACTTTCTCCACACGTTAAAGTCCGTAAGTACGTGGGGAATAGAGTTGGAAATATTTATTAAGTTATTTTCGGTCCAGATCTCCAGTCCTATAAGAAACAGCTGGACAGAAAGTTGTTTGAGCATAGTGTCCCCAACATTGATGATTTGCATGATGTCCTTCAAGACTTCGGATTTGCTCCTGCCTGACTTCACAAACCGCACGTTGTCCACAACCACTACTATCTTCACATACCTGACGTGTGTCCACCAGTCCTTGAGCTTTTCGTTCTCCTCCTCTGTCTTGGGAGCCTTGAACCACGGCAGTACAGCCTTTTGTTGCTGCAGCACCTCCGGCGTCAGTCCGCAGCTGGGTCCCTCGGGGTTGTTGGCCTCCTCCAAGCGGTAGAGAATGTGCCGAAAGGCCGGATCATTGGGGACGGGCTCGATCTGGTAGGTATAATCCTCCACCCAGAGCATGCCGTCGAGGCCCCTGCCGCAGGTGCTGAGGGCCACCAGGGAGCCGGGGCTCCCCAGCACGTCGCCCTGGTAGAAGCAGTTGTCCCGCACGGAGGGGTGCTCCTCCCGGCGGGCCCCGTCCCGCCCGTAGGTGACCAGGGTGAAGGGGCGGGAGACCAGGCCCCTCCTGGGCTGCAGGCGCAGCACCCGCGGCCGCCCCGCCACGTTCAGCCAGTAGGAAAGGGCCGTGGCGTCGCCGCCGGCCCGGGGGCTCAGCTGCCGCGGCACCGTCACCCACTCGGCGG